CTCTGCAGATAGATCTCCAGCACACAGTGTTGGCTGAGGAACTCTGCAGCCGTCTCCAGCCCCTTCTCTCCTCTAGAAGACACAAACCAGCAAGCTGGGAGGGACAGGGCTGGCGGTCAGACAGAGCGTGTGTCCTGGGGACTCCAGCAGCCTGCAACCCCTGAGCCTCGTACATGAAGAAAACCAGAACCCCAGGGGTTTGTCCTCCAACAAATCCTCTCACTCTTTTTTAGTGGCTTCTGTTCCTTTCAGTGGAGTGATGAAATCCTTGTTTAGGATCCTACAGAACACAGATTGTGCTCCTAAATCTCCACTTGAAAAAAAAATGTATTTATACATGCAGGAAACAGAAAACAAAGGTTTCAATTAGTCTTTGAAAAGGCAATAACATAAATAGAATTATCAACAAGAATGAAAGTCGGCTTCCTCCCTGTCCTGTTCTCCTCCTTCCTGTTTATCTTTGCTTTCTTTTGAAGAATGACCTACACTGAGCAACTTGCCATCCACTGTCCTCTGAGGTTATGGATAGAAAAAATGAGAACTATGAAATCTGGACACAAAGAAGTGTGTTTCAGAGTTCTCCAGAGTAACAGAACTGATATGTGTCTGTGTTACATCGACTGTATCTTACATAACAATATGACATGGTCACGTATCGTTTAACAGAAGGGAGATGCTCGGAGAAGTGCATGGCTAGGTCATTTCGAGGTTGTGCAGACATCACAGAGTACATTTACAACAACAAGGATGGCTACAAAATTAATCTCATGAGACCACTATCATATCTGTGGTGTGCCATTGACTGAAATGTCAGTAAGGGGTCCATGTATATAAATGTGTGTGTATAAATAATTATCATTCATATTTATTATAAAGATATGTAATATAACCAAATATATATTATATTAAATATATTATAAATATGATAATTATAGTTACCTCCAGATATATGCCCTGTAACTATATGCAGGTTTATTATAATCCATATAAGTACATATAAAGATATATAATGTCATTGGAATATCATTCCAATTCTTTCCTGATATATACTATACAATTATGCATAGACATGTATAACATATATACATCATACAATATATAATTATATATACTACTACATACAAATACCATGCTTATTATAAAGTACTGGCTCCCATGATTCTGGAGGCCGAGAAGTGCCGCCACTCACCAAGTGCAAGTGGGAGGCTCAGCAAAGCTGCTGATGCAGTGGAAGATCCGAGAAACAGAGTCCTGGTGCAGATTCCAGTCCAGATCTGAAGGGCCAGGAGCCGGGAGCATGGAGGGCTGGAGATCTGTGTCCCAATTCAAGCAGCGAGACTGAGAGCAAACCCCACCTCCCTCCATCTCCTAAGTGCTAGTCAAGCCCCCAAGAGACGGCCCGAAGCCCCCACCTTGAGGACAGCCATCTGCTGCTCCGTCCACCAACTCAAACACCCAACTCTTCCAGAAACACCCTGGCGGACATACCCAGGGATAACCTGCGGTCAGCTCTCTGGGCATCCTATGGCCCAGGCGAGCTGCCACGCATGGTGTTCCCAAATACAACAGTCCCACAAGCAGGAGCTGAAAAATTCATGAACAAAGCCCTCTTCCTCCATTCGAGAATGGAGGGTGTTTATCCATTTTCTAACTCTAGCGTCTGTGAGAACCGAAATTGTGTTAAGATGCTGAGACTAAAAATAGAAAGAGAAGGCAGTGACTTTTAAACTACAAAGCGAGGGCAACTGACAAACCAGATACAGCAGGACTTGGCCTCCCGGGAGGGAATCTGTGCCAGGACCAGGGATGGCAAATGAATCAAGCCTTCGGGTCGGGCATCTGGCAGCATGGAACCCTGCAGAACTGCTAAACCCAACATTCACAAGCGCCCTTCAAAAAGTTCATGAAACATTTTATTTCCAAGGTTTATTTTGTGCACTTTTTAATCCACACATAGTTACTTTTCATACTACACACTGCCCATGAACTTTTGAAGATCCTGCTGTGTGTGTGTGTGTGAGTGTGTGTGTATGTGTTGCTCTGTCCAAATGCTGGAAACACATCAAAGAAGTGATTGGAATCTCTGGCAGCAAACGAAGCTAAGCATCACAGTAGAGTAACTGTCAGGGCCCTGGTCCCCAGCATCCACAGGATCCCACCGTTCTTTTTTTTAAGATTTATTTATTTATTTGAAAGTCAGAGTTACAGAGAGAGAGAGAGAAAGAGAGAGAGAGAGAGAGAGGTCTTCCATCTGCTGCTTCACTCCCCAATTTGCCACAATGGCCGGAGCTTCGCTGATCCAAAGTCAGGAGCCAAGAGCTTCTTCCGGGTCTCCCACGCAGGTGCAGGGGCCCAAGGACTTGGGCCATCTTCTACTGCTTTCCCAGGCCACAGCAGAGAGCTGGATTGGAAGAGGAGCAGCCAGGACTAGAACCAGCGCCCATATGGGATGCCGGTGCTTCAGGCCAGGGCGTTAACCCGCTGAGCTACAGCGCCACCCCCCACTCTGTTCTTTCTCTTCACATTGCATCCCCATGGGTGAGGCAGCCTCAGAGCCAGCAGGCACTTCGCACCCGGACCCCAGGCCGCAGGTGCTCGCACCCCTCCCTTCCATTCAAGACCTGCTTCCAGGGACCTGAGATCACGGGAAACTCCCCGCTCGAATGTTGGCCCGGAGCTCAGGCCCAGGGCTCCATGCAGGTTCCCTCCCCAGCCTCACCAACTCAGGGTCAACTGTGTGATTGGGATGCCTATCCCGGGCCCAAGGGGAGGCTTTTTGGGAAGAGGGAGGTCATGAGAGGCTGGTATGTGCACATACGTCTGGGCAAGTCTCCCTCGTGCAGGCCTGAGTTGGATGGAGGAAGAGAAAGGGGGAAGCCTCAAGGGTGAGGGTTTCTCATTGCACTCTCGCTCTGGCTCCCACCACCACCAAAAACCAGGGGCAGGCCTGCTACCAGGCACCCACCCAAAGGCAAGCCAGAGACCAACATACAGGAAAGGGTCAGGGGGAGTTTTTCTTGTTGTGAGAACCTTTATGAAAACAGAAAAGACAGAAAAACCTTTGGAAAAGAAGCATTCAGCAAATTCTGTGACTCAAAAATCCCTCATTCAGTAGTAAAACTGCAGCGAGGGGTTATGCTACATAAGCCGGTTCCATGGCACGCTCCTATTGAACAACACTTTGGGTTCACACAGTTTCCCCGTTGCTTAGGGTGAGATGGGAACAGGTGGGGTGGAGGAATAACCAGCAACGAAGGGCTGCTGTTAAGATGAGGCTCTTTTGCAGGTTCCAGGAAAACTGTAGGGGTTCAGACACCTCCCTGAGGGGAGCAGGGACCGTGCTGGGCACAGCAGGTTAACCTGCAGCCTGAGATGTCTGCATCCCATATCGAAGTGCTGGTTCAGTCCTGGCTACTCCAGCTCCCAGCTAATGCACCTGGGAAAGCAGCAGATGATGGCCCAAGTACTTGGGCCCCTGCCACCCACGTGGGGGACTCAGATGGAGTTCTAGTCTCCCGGCTTCTGAGGCCATTTGGGGAGTGAAACAGAAAATGGAAGACCTTTCTCTCTCTCTCTCTCTGTCTTTCCCTCCCTCTGTGTCACTCTGCCTTTCAAATAACTAAAATACATTTTGAAAAGAAAAGAAAAAAAGACACTCTCCCTTCCGGAATCTATGCCATGCAAAGTTTAGGGCTTGAAAGAATGGCACAGGTAAGTGGAGATAGGCCTGTGGGCTTCTCAAGTGATAATGAACTTAGCTTGCCCTAAGGCCAGAACCAAGGAGAGCTAAAACCAGGCAGAGGCAGCAGGCGGCAGCAAGGTGAGCTCTTCAGCAGGTGTCTTCTCCAGGCTCCCCATGCAGATCCTTCCACTTCCCAGACCTCCCCGCGCTGTCTACCAAATCACATCTCTTACAGTCAGCCCATTCCCAAGATTCTACCATTTGGACAGTAAAGCAGTGGGCAACCATTTCTACCGGCTCTTGTCTGAATGGAGCCACCTCCCACACCCTTCTCCAGGAACGGGTCTTTGGGATGGGCCTTGCATGGTTAGCCCAACGTGCAACAGATCAGTGGCCAGAAGGCCTATCAACCCTTTCGTCCAACACTGAATCCAGAACAATGATGTACAGTGGTTTTCAAGCGGTGGCCTCAAACAATTCTACATAATTACAAGGAACATTCCTCTTTGTGTTTTGTTTTGGCTCCCCCCCCCCCCCATGGTTGCTTAAACAAGTGGTTATCCGTTAGGGTGTTGACATAGGAAAAGGCGAAATGCCAGCCACCGGGCGCCAGCGGCCGCGAGTCCAACAAGCGGTGGCTCGGTGGCGCGCGGGCCGCTTCTGTGCTCGCGGGGGGCCAGCTCTCACTTCCTCCCAACTCCTGTCCCGCCCTCTTCGCGTATCTTCCTGAGTATGCAAAAAAAAAAAAAAAAGTGTGAATAATCGTAGCGGTTTTACTTTGAGCCATCTCCGTGCCAGAGCTCATGGGACTGGCTCCTCCTAGCCTCTCCGTCGTTGGGAGAGACGCGTTGCGCTCCTGCTGCCCCCGCCCTCTGTGCACCCTGCGCAGACCCCGCAAGTGTCGCTCGGCTGAGGCTGGACCCGACCTAGCCCAGGTCAGTCCTCCGCGCGGCTGCCAGCACCCGACCCCGGCCGGGCCGAGGAGCGCGGCTCCCGCCAGCAGCCCTCAGCTCCCGGCGCCCCGCAGTTCGCACGCGCCTGCCCAGCGCTGTGCCCCGCGGGTGCTCGGAGCCCACCCTTCCCCATCCCCGCCCGCGCGCCCAGGGGACTCGCAGCGCTGGGGCGAGGGTGACGCGTCCCGCCTGGCCGGCAGCTCGCGGGAGCTGGCCTTCTGCACGCCCGGGACACCACTCCCAGGCCCGCCCCGGACGGCGCGGGGGTGAAAGCGGAGGTTCCTCTCGGCGCGGGTCGCTGCCGCAGCCAGGACTGCGTTCGGATGCTGGAGACGAGCAGCCCCTGGACACGCTGCGGGAGCCCCGGGACGAGGCGGCCCTGGGCGCGCGCTGGGGCCGGAAGGGGGCTCTGGATCTTGATCCCTTCTCTCTTCCCTTTGGGTCTCAGAGCGCCCGGCCTCTCAGACCCTCCCGCGCCCAGGTGTCGGCCGGGAGAGGAGGAAGCACCTCTCCGCCGCGCACCCCGCCATGGGCAATGCCTCCAATGACTCCCGGCCCGAGGACTGCGAGACGCGCCAGTGGCTCCCCTCGGGCGAGAGCCCCGCCATCAGCGCGGTGATGTTCTCGGCCGGGGTGCTGGGGAACCTCATCGCGCTGGCGCTGCTGGCGCGCCGCTGGCGGGCGGACGCGGGGCGCAGCGCGGGCCGCGGGACCTCGCTCTCGCTCTTTCACGTGCTGGTGACCGAGCTGGTGTTCACCGACCTGCTCGGGACCTGCTTCATCAGCCCGGTGGTGCTGGCTTCGTATGCGCGGAACCAGACCCTGGTGGCGCTGGAGCCCGACGGCCGCGCGTGCACCTACTTCGCCTTCGCCATGACCTTCTTCAGCCTGGCCACGATGCTCATGCTCTTCGCCATGGCCCTGGAGCGCTACCTGTCCATCGGGCACCCCTACTTCTACCAGCGCCGCATCACGCGTCGCGGGGGCCTGGCCGTGCTGCCCGCCATCTACACCGCCTCGCTGCTCTTCTGCTCGCTGCCGCTGCTGGACTACGGAGAGTACGTGCAGTACTGCCCGGGGACGTGGTGCTTCATCCGGCACGGGCGCACCGCCTACCTGCAGCTCTACGCCACCCTGCTGCTGCTGCTCATCGTGGCCGTGCTCGCCTGCAACCTCAGTGTCATCTGCAACCTCGTCCACATGTACCGCCGCGCCCGCAGGAGCCGCTGCGGACCCTCGTCGGGCAGCGGCCGGGGCGGCCCCGGGACCCGCAGGAGGGGCGAGAGGGTGTCGGTGGCGGAGGAGACGGACCACCTCATTCTCCTGGCCATCATGACCATCACCTTCGCCGTGTGCTCCTTGCCTTTCACGGTACGTCGCTCACTTCCCGCGCTCTTTACGCCGCCCCGCAAACTTCTGCCACGTTCCCACCTGGGAAAGATCCGAGCGCTTCCCGCCCCAGCTTCACCCTCCCTCCTTCCTCCTGCAATCCAGGCGCAGGGGAGCCGCTAAACTATTTCTTGCCACAGGCTAATAGGGACCCCTTGCAAGGAGCCCTTGGCCGTCCTCTAAACCAGCCCAGTTCCCATTCTGGAGTCAGCGCCCCTTTCCCACTGATGGTCAGCCTGGCCTGGGACCTTCCATGCTTACACGGAGATGACCTTGAGTTGCAGTTGGCGGTCTGGTGCCCCCCACCCTCCGGTGCTAGCTCTCCATGCTTTGCCTTGTGTTTCTGGCAGGACACCAGGTAGTATTCCAGGGTACTCTGGCTGCCCCTGAACTTGGCCGTGGATGAGGAGGGTCCCTGTGGCAGAAGCTCCCAGTGTCCCTTGTTTGTCCTAGAAGTTCACCAAACATCTTTACCCACTGGAGTTCACTTCTTCGTAGCCATGAATATTCCTAAGGCCTCCATACTGGCAACTAGAGGAATAGACACTTGCTTTCAGGAACTCCTTGCTAAACTTTGGTGATCCCTCCAAAACAGGCTTTCGAAATCTTAAAAAAAAAAAAAAATCCTCTCGCTGTCACTGCTGGGTACACAGCAGCTTACAGCTGTCCATTTGATAAAGCCACATTCAGGAACGGCTGCTCCAGCTCAGGGAAGGAAGAGAGCTGCCCAGGAAACCAACCACCAGGAGCCCAAGGTCGGGGCAGGGGGTGGTCTGGGACAAGCTCAGCAGTCAGTTCCGTGCTGCTCTGAGTCTGGGCCTCCGAACGTGCCCGTGGTAGCAGAGCCCGGGATGTGTCGAGCATGTGTTGGCCCCTTGCAGAGGCTGGGGACTGGGCGCCTGGGCAGCGCCTCTCTAATTTTCAGAAGCAGACTGGCCCTGCAGGGAGGAAGCAGGTCTTAACCCCTGCCTAGCGCAGTCTTGGGGAAAGGAATGGGATGGACAGAGCCTGGCGTATGAAGGAGTCCGCCTTGCAGAGGCTGGAGAAGCAACTGTACCCTACCTCAGCCTCTGCTTCTGATAATCCTGGTCTGTTCCTTTTCTGGGATGGAAAAGACAAGGGTCCTGAAAGCCTAAGACAGGCCCCTCACTCCCTCGAAATGTCTTTCTCAACTCCGCTCGCTTCTCCCTGCGCCCCACTGTCCTCACACGTCTGCCCCATCCTCCATTGGGACACAAGCTGGCCGACATCAGTGAGTTTCATTATGGGGAAATGGGAGGTCACACAGCTAAGTCGCCCCTGGAAACAAGGAAGCAGGTGTGTGGGAGGCTGCAGTGCACCCCTCGCCCCGAGCAGGGGAGCTTGCAACCACAATGCTGTGATGTAGAAACCAACCCCGCTTCAACACTTCTCTTTCCCCGATTTTAGTGCTGTGAGAGTCGAAATCAGTTCTGGGAGATCAGGATAGGATGCAGAACAGGGATCCATGAAGGAATCTATCTTGGATGCCGCTAAGCAGCAGAACACAACTTGGGGAACATAAACCATTCCTGGCTAGGGGAGTGCATGTCTTATGCTGGTGGGAATTAGGCTGGTAGTTCTTGTGGTTTGATTGTCATTTGTGACACCTCCACTACTTAGGATCCGTCTGAAGGGTGACCCCACACTTGTGAAAAAGACCTATTCTCCTTTTCTAAGCCATTTAGAGGAAGTCAGCGGGGGGAAAAGGTCTCCCTTTGATCATGCCTGACCCACAGTGGAATCTTTGGTTTGGTTTTTAATAAGAGGCAATGATTTTTCAACAGGCCTCTGTTTTCATGTAAATTTTTCCCTTCATCATAACTCTATCATTGCCCTACACTGATTTTTAATTCTGCATACATACATGCAGGTTTCCCCCTCACTCATTTAATCTTCCAGCCAGGGGCAGCTCCAGGGCTGCCACCGGAAGGGGCTTCAAGGCAGGAGTGGGCTTAGAAGGGATGCGATGGGGGAGATCTGCTCTGCAGTGTGTTTTGCTTAGATTGCCTGTTTGTGGCTGGAGGGAGGGAGGCTGGGGGAGGGGGGTGGCGGATTATGAGAGGGCCTTGTCTCTCCCAAGTCACTCCTTGGCAATGACCACATCAGCAAGTATTTTCTCAGTTCATGTCTGTGTATATTCATGGCAAAGATTCCCAAAGAGCAGGAGAAAACCCTGACTTGTGCGTAACCTGAAAGCTGTCTTGAAACTATCATGCTGTCCTATTCAGATGAGCCACAGATAACCCAAGGCATCTCTTAATAAGGAAATCTACCCATTGATGGGTTTGATTTTGCCAATAGATGATTGCTACTCATTGTTCGCACCTCTTGTTTCCGTAGCCTGTTATGAAGTGTGGCACAGTCCTGATTTACTCCCTGAGGGGTAAACTTGTGGCTACTGTTTGGTTCCTACATTCTACTAGTTCAGAATTTGAGGCATGTGCCTGGAGGAAATGCATCCCCTGACCCACCCAGCCTTCTGTTCTATGTGGAGAATGCTAAAATAGCCCTCCAAAGTGACCTACACTAAGCTCCCACCCCAGGGAGGAATCATATCCACTCATCCTGCCCAGGAGTACCACTAGACAAAGCAAAGGTTTATGGCTGCCCTCAGAAATGCTCCTGTGTCTCTGGCAGTATGCACGTGGTTCAGTAGAAATACAGTGTGTTCCACATACAGGATTTCAAATTGTCAAAAGTCATATAAAAAATAGAAAGAATATTTTTATTACATAGGCCATTTAACCCACTAGATCCAAAATGTAATCCATTCAAAATGTAAGCCTTTGTAAAGTCCTGAGTAAGATACTCCCAATTAGTTTTCTTACATCTTAGAAAATAGCAGCAACCTACCCCTGTCTCTACCCATCCCTTCCATAGGTCAACAGAGCTACTTCCTATGTTGCTCAAACATGGGCCAAACCACTTGTCCTCAGGGAAGGGACTCACAACCACACCCAGCAGGAGGCCAGCCTATCCCACAGCACTCCAGTAGTTGGGGAGAGGAGAAACAGGGGATTTAGCACACCTGGAACAATTAACATCAGACGTTGTACCACGCACTGGCAGTCTGGAATCCCTGCTTCCTCCAGGGAGGCCAGTCCAAGGCTTGCAAAAGATTGACAAGTAAAACTATCAAAATATAAAACAATGCCCACACCCTAAAATGAGGTCAAGTTCAACCTCACATATTATCATCAACACCAAAATGACTTACATGTTTGAGTGCTAATTTTTTACGTATACTATTAGTCTCATAACGACCTATAAAAAAGCCAGTACTATGATGCCTAGTGAACAGATAAGGCAAATAACATACCCTGGCTCCCACAGGTAGTGAGCTGTAGAGTACGATTCATGGGCAGGCAGCTTATGCATCGAGCCTGTGCACCCAGCCACAATAGTATTAAAAAGAAATTACTCACTTCCAGGGTGACGTACGAGAAGACTAATCCAAGGTTTCATAAGAGAATTGTGGAGATGCTGTACATACTTGGGCCACTCTGCCTCTTGATTCCAACTCGCTAGTTTTACAAAGAAAATGGCAAAGGTGTTTTTCTCCATGTCAGTTCAAGGCGGCTGAGCGAGGGCCAAGTCTACTCCAGGCCAATGAAACAAAAGGCTGTGACTGAGGTTTGAGGAGATGGCTAAGGTAAATGCTAGTCTACATTAAGAAATAAGCACAATACTCCTCATACAAAACGTTCCCTTCATGCACATAAAGCATTTCTTAAGTGATAAAAAAAAAAAAGCATGTGGTGTTCAGGAAATGACATTATTTTGGCTGTCCAACATGAAATCCAGCATGGGACCAACAATGTTTTCCAAACTGTTTAGTCACCAAAGAGATATTGTATAAATTAGTAAATTCCTCCTTATGCTAATCAGCTGTTGTCATCATCTCACAGAGATAAATAGAAACTTTCTTCCCGAAATGGAACAGAACACAGGAACTATAGAAGACTTCCATTCTTGCTTCAAATACTGCTTGTGTCTTCATTTCCAACCCATTTTGTCCACTTTACTAATGGTGCCCAGCTTCCTGGTCATTTTAAACTGTTTTCCACATGCCATTAGGATAAAGTGCTTAGGCACTTTATTCAGTTCTAAAATTTCAAGAGTGAGCCACTGACTCATTCTCAAAATGTCTTCATCTTTAGAAATTCTTTAGGAATTTCTGATTAGGTAAATCTGCTTAGTGGAAATCTGATCTGTGTGATGCAGGACAAACTAAGTCAACAATGCTGGAGTTACCTGTTCATTCTTGGTACTCCTTACATAAAATGGAATATGAACAGGGGTAAAAACCTGAACATCTGCCAATTACATTCATGCAAAATACTATAGTAACTTGGCAGGGATAAAAGAGAAATCCAGAAATTTTATGCCTAACCACAATGGATTTTGCCTGGTGATGTTTTCAGTAGTTGTCTGTGAACAGTTAAAACTGGCCTTTATCATCCGAGCATCGTTAGTTGTCGCTCCCCCTCTTCGTGGAGGAACGACACAGGACCCTGCGCTGTTCTTTCGTCTGCTCGGCCCTCCCCGGGTTTGCTGCTGGTTCTTCCCGGGTTGGCTACTATCCCTTCCACCTCCGTGGAAGGGCAGTTCCCCCTGGCCGCATTCCCCACTTCCGCAGGGGAGCGGCACACCGCCGGCCGGCTCTCTGGGGGCTGCACGGGTTCCCTTAGATGTTCCCCATAGATGTTCCTGGTGCATGCCGTCTCTCTCCTCCTTTATAGTCCTCCTCCGCCAATCCCAACTCGGCTGAGTACGCTGCTCTCCAATCAGGAGCAAGTCCTACAGTTAATTGGTTGAACTGGAGGCAGCTGTGCGGAAGCTGTTTACTTCTCTCCCAGCGCCATATTGTGGGAGAGCAGATGCATAGAATAAGTCCTAATTCGAGTAACTTAGTCTAGTCCGGATTGCTCCCCACAGATCCCCCTTTCTTTTTATTTTTT